TGGAGCAGTCATTTTGAAGCAGTCTCTGAGGCAATCTCTTCTTTGAGTCCTCTGAAAATGTTCTTCTTCTTCATCCGTCAAATGACGGCCATCCTCACGAAAGGCTATCATTTTTATACACATTTTTAGGCTAAACATATGCATTTTGATGGGGCATAAAGTGATTTTCTTAGTGAACATCATATGTAAATCTTGGCACATGAAACTAGCAGTTATTACTTAAAGTAATTATGAAAGTTTAGTTGCACCATCACTTCGGCTATGTAATGTTGGCACAAAAGTCGGATTAGTCGCATGGGCTAGTTATCCCTGTGTATGTGTGTATGTGTGTATAGGAAAGAGAGAAGATGATCTTAAACGTATATAAAAAGTGATCCTAATTAGAATTATTATCAACACAATTCTACTTGAGTCACCCTCTCTATGTTTAAGTCTATCACCCTATTTCGTCAAAGGTGATGGAGTAGAATTTTCCCACATTATATGAGTTGAGCTGACGTTTCCAACTCATATCATTGTGGGAAAATTCTACTACCAGTCCTTCGTCACCTTACACGAAATAGGGTGAATACATCTCATTGCACTGATTTACTGGTAGTCTCGAAACTCTACTCTCATACGAAAATAAGTAGTTACTGTTTAACATTTTCCCGGGTTTTCTTGATATTTTATTTATTGCATAATGTATTACATTCAATGAACTCTCAACTTTTGCGCTCGACTGCAGACTTACCATATTCAGCAAAACAATAAGTTTCAAATCATTCTATTTCACGTCCTGTTCATGCTGTGGATTCCGCTATCTCAACAGCCTCTGCGAGCATTTTTGTGTTTAGTTAATCACTCATGCAGAAAATACAGTCCTGGGTACCTTCTACAGGTACGTTTTAAGTCTCGCTAGTACAAAATTAACTAAATGAACACATTATTTTAAGGTAACCTGATCAAGAAAAGTGGTCAACTTCCCCTCGAAAAGTAGGTATAACTAAAGAAAGTATCATTGTTTCCTTGAAATCAATTTCTATTACTCATGTACCAGTTCGCCTATCTTTCTTGAGAGAACTCAGCAAGACGGAGTATAGCATGAAAAAAAGTATACGTTTTTTCCTCTTTAAAAAAGCATTCTCTATCAGTCTAATGCTATTTTCAATCAAGCCTAGAGGATAATTAGTTCAAATAATTTTTTTTCAGGCCTATATAATTCACGATCACGGGCTATTCTTATTTTCCGAATAATCATTCATGTTGTAACTATGGTTGGCATTTTAGATGCTTCGTTGTCAAGCCTTTTTTTTGTTCTGATAACCAAAACATCCGAGAGTGGTAAACTATTTTCCTTTTGTATTTATATTGTAATTTAAGAATACTATTCTTTGGTTAATTAAGAGCAAATAAAATCATGCTGCATATGTCTCAATAACAT